CAGTTTTGTGAATTTCATCTTAATAAATAAGTACGAGTTACTCATATGTGTTTTCGTTGATGAAACTTTGTATAAGCTCTAGTTCTCAACAGAACCCTGCAGGTTACGACTTTTCATTAACCTATAACAACTAACCTATAAAAACCTTCACAACCTAAGGGAAGCCGTCAAACGTCGCATCGGTGAATTCATCGTGAACAGAGAATTGAGAAACTTACTATTCAATATAAAAAAAAGAGCCTCTCTCTCCTTTGTCACTCATCAATATGCAGAAAAAGACAGACGAACAGTAATTAAAGAAGAAGGCAGTGGTGCAGTTACATCGTGATTTTACAGGCTGTTTTTGTTGTAAAATAAAACGGTGTGACGCCTTCAAAGTGCATTCAGCCTTCAAAAATAAAACCGTGCATAAAGTTTGAACTGTGTGTGCCGTACTAAAAAATTGGTTGATGGCAAAAAGTGTGATTATCGACAAAAACGGACTGTAAAGTATTTCTTGCTTGAATGTCCACTCCATCTATCTGAACATCGTTTCAGACCATAGTTGTTATGATAAAAGGTGTGTTTAAAATTTCTTCTTCTTCGTGATAATTTGATGCATTTTGATGTTATTTATTGTGCTGCGACTAAATTTATCGAAAATACAGCACGTTTCTGTTAAAGGCAGCTATGTTGTTTTATTTTTATTTTCATATCATGTGTTTCGATGATGGCAGCGATTGTTATGTTACCCTTTTTTCAATACTTTCTTCGTTCTTCACTAGTTTCGCTTTTAAACATTGTGTGAGTGAAGGAAAAGATATCAAAATGATGCTTTTTCTCTTTTATATTGCACACAATAAACACATATGTTTTAGATTTATACCTTATATCTCATATTTCCTTTTATTAGTTTATAGTCTCCAGGTCTATGCATACTGTCAAGCAGGGATGGGCGAGTCAAGCTACTTTCCGACTCCGAGTCATTTCGTAGCGGCTTCGAGTCGAGTCACCAGTGTCTCAGAGTCAAGTCGAGTCGAGCCAAGATATTTTTCCCATTTTTTCTAGTTTCTTATGTAGAAAAAAGAGAACAGTCCTACATACAATAAAATGACATAACTACTATAGATTGATCAACAAAATAAGAACAACGCAGTGAAAAAAACATCATTTTTTACAAACAAAAACTTAAACTTAAAGTTGCTTACAAGCTACAATTATTTATTAATATTTAAATTACTGTCTTATTGTACTGTAAAGATGTTAAAATGCAAACATTAGCTTGTGAAAATTTTGAACGATGCGGTCTCATTAAAAGGCCGCTTTGAGGAAACACACGTTCAACTGGTGTTGATGTAGCTTTTTTGAATGAGCCAATTTTTAATGCTGGAAATAAACATTTTTTGTTTTCCTTATCAGAAAATGGTGTAATTGTCTTATTGTTGCTAGCTTCTTTAGGCATCACCTGAACACCAGCATTAATAATGTTATCTTTTGAATTAAGTTGTATGGATGCGTCAACAATATATTGTTTAATAGTTGAAATAATATTGTTTTTTGTTAAATCAGATAATAAAAGATGATCAGTTATCCATTGAAATTTAAAACGTGCATCCAAAGCTAGACTCATCAAAAAATTGGACCACTATATAAACACGATGTATTAGCATTTGTATTTATTTTCACTGTACAATTATCTGTTTCAATAAAGAAATGTTTATAAAAACCATCAAAACGTGTTTTTAATGAAGAAATTAAAGCATCGCATAATAAGTATACACGTTGAGGTTTTTTTTCTTTCAAGTACAAGATCACTTAATGGATTAAGAAGGATTGGTCCAACATCATTGAGTGTATTTACTGGTTTATTTAAGACAACAGTAATAGTCAAAAATTGGCTATTCCAACAACATTGTATTGCACGTGGCATTGTTTTTGATAACTTTTCTAATTCTTCTGCAAATAAAACGCTACTATGCCTGGATTTTGCAACTTTGTCAAGGCAGCAGTTGTATCTTCAATACCATCATTGACAACCAATTGCAATCTATGAGCAGAGCATGGTAAACGTAATAGTTCTAAATTTTCACTAACACATTGAATAATATCATCAGCTAACGGGGTACTAATTCAAAATGATCATTTGAATCATCATTACATGTTTCTTCACGATCATCATTATTATCCTGTGATAAGCCATTGTTCTCATTGTTACAGTCATCATTTTCAAAATATGATTCAAAACCAGGAAGTAGAATGTCATAAATGCTTTTATACTATTTGCTGCATTATCCGTAATTAAACGTACTAACTCTTTCTCAATATAATAATAATTAATTACCTTTTCAAACTCAGCTAATAAAACATCAGCTGTATTGATGACCTTTTAATGATGCGAATGATAATAAATATGTTTTTAAATCATCATCAATAAATGTGTGCAGTGTAATACCAATATAAGAACGTGATTGTCTGTCAGTCCATATATCTAATGCGACTGATACATGTTCAGCATTGTTACACAATGTTTTGAGTTGTGTAACCATTTTGTCATGTAATTTCGGGAGTTTATCCCGAGTTATTTGTCGACGATTTAAAAGTAAATACATTGAATCAACTACATGCATAAAATTTTTAAAACCGTTTTGTTCTATCAATGATAAAGATACACGCATAATTGAAAAAAACATTGAGCTATAAGGACAAAACTGTTTGCGGTTCTATTTGTGCTGCATGTACCTGAGTATATGATGATGTTTTTGTACAAGTTTAATCTTGAAACAAAGCAAGTTGAAACAAAAAAGTTTATGTTTAAAGAGAAGGTAAAAACATACCACGGTTATCCAAAGATATTCTGTCTTAGTGACAAAGACCTTGACACAGTGATGGGCGAAGAAATTAGTCGCTGTTTTCGAATATATCGTTGAAAACTCAGCTAAGAGTCAGCAGAGTATCAAAAATTCAAAAATGACCCAGAAATATCTAGAAAAACATCAGTATTGTGAAACTGTTTTCTCAATAACTAGTAAATTAAAGCTAGAAACAAAAAGAAATTGAACAGTTACCTAATTTTTGACACTCCATCGAATGGCATTAAAAGAGTAGATGCAAAAACTGTAAGCACGGTCTAAAACTCAGATTTGGTTTTCCAGAAAACGTCTGGAAAACCGAAAGCAAATTAATTCTGTTTTGATGATACCGACCGATAGACATTTTTTTCTATTTTGATGATACAGTTTTCCAGATACTTCGAGGTTTTTTTGAATTTTTGATTGATGAACAAAGCAAGGGGTTCATGCGAAAAGATGGTGAGCTCATTCAATTCACATCGTTCACCTCAACGAGCCGGAGTCGAGAGAAAGCTGAACAGTTCGAAACACGCTGCTCATCCTCGATCTCGATGTGTTTAGTTTCAGCATTCAGACAGTAGTCCAATGCGGTGATAACATCTCAGCCCTGTCCGATTTCCAGGACGAAGAAGAGTTTCTGAGTTTCTGCAAAGAAACTCGACGTTGAGATCGATGGGGAGTACGTTATTAAGTTCAAACACGAGGTACAGTGCCGGAAGGGAGAGTGGAAGATGCCGATTAAGAGAGCCGATTAAGAGAGTGGAACTGGAGACCGAGAGAGCAACGTACATTTACCGAACGTGAGATTTGCACTGCCCATCGCACTCGCGCCCAGCTCACCGCTGGTTGCAGAAACGCAAGAAGCGTTTGGTCAACTAGCAAGAAACTTTCCATATGGTTACTACAGTGTGGAGCTGGAATACAAAGACAAATCCCTCGAAATTTTGTTTCCTAGACGAGAAAATGGTATTTTTATATCCGACTGTGTATGAGAAATGTTAACCGTAAATTTACGGTATTAAAATAATACGAATACGAATTCTACACTGGTTTGTTAAAAGTATACGTCACGAAACTTCGGTTTTGTTCATTAGTGAATAACATGAATTGATTCGATATAAATATATCCAGGCATGTCTAATTCAATACATTAGTAATTGCATTGTTTAAAGAAAAGTTCCTAAACGCAGTGATATGATCTGAATCTAATCGAGTAGTGACAAGTCACATACAAAACAAACTTTGTCCTTTCATCGATAACTTTTTATTCTTCTATGTTTCCATTAAGAACATTTCTTATACACAGTCGGATATAAAAATATCATTTTCTCGTCTAGGAAACAAAATAAAAACAGCGATCTGTTATTTTTTTCGCATGTCTGTGACGATTAGAACTAGGTGAAAGAAAACGTTACATTGCCTAATTTAAATGGCTAGATGGGCTTACGGTACTCACCGTCAGCATAAGACGATCCTCCTCAAGATTCATTTGATTCATGTACGTTTTTAATTTTCGTCTGTCTGAAAACCGGTGTTCTATACCTAGTGCATCCGAAGAATCTCTTCAGAACTAAAACTTCGAAACAAAAACCTAAAGATGCAAATTTCGCTTATTTTTGAAAATTCTCCTTGATTTCGGCGATTTTGGAAAACTAAAATTAAATTTTTATAGTGGTCTGTATAATTTTTTAAAAGTGAGAAAAATGAAACATTTACACAATATTTTATGTCAGTGTAGGTCAGGGAACGTGAGCACAATGGTGTTTTACCCGATAGCTTGCCGGTATATCGACGGCATTTTAGCAATGCAAAATGATAGAGACCTTCGTCTAAAGTTGTATACTGTTTATATTTACTAATAGAGTATAAACGGATTACAATTGGTCAAAACCCGACAAAATAGTATTTGAAAATAAAAAGAAGGACATTGCATCATTAGAAGAAATTTGATATCTTCAATTGTTACCTGCCACATGAGAGCAGACGACTAAAGTTATACAAAAAAGACATGATTCTTTTTCTTGACGCGAAATCGATAAGAGATAGAAAGTCGATTTTAGTCATCAAGCTAGACCTAACCTTAGTGAATGTCTGCAGAAAGTTTTGACCATTGAAAAAAAGAAGACAAAAAAAGAATTTTGATTAAAAAGCGAAAATAAATATAATGTAACATAATAAAGTATGTGAACCTCCTAAGATGATAACGTTGGTAGTGCGGCTGTAGCATTATATGAATGGTCGCGACCATTCAAAATTATGCATTATACGTTCGTGAAGTAAAAGGACTCCTGTAGTAATTTGGGCATCCGTTTTATGATATTTGAATACCCATTTATGGTGAATAAACACATAAATCTGGTTGCAGTTCATTCAAACTCTTCATTTTTCCAATTGCTGCTTCTATATAATTGGATATAATTTGTGTAGTAGTTTTACATGGATGAACAACAGTAAAATAATAACCATAATCATTACCGGTGGCTAATAATGGTAACGGTTTTTCGGACTGTTTACTTGTAAGAGATGGTACTATTGTCTGCTTACTATACAATGATTGAACAAATTGACTATTTGTTATGTTGTTCAACACAAAACCAGGTAATGTTGATTGATCATTATAATTAAGTGATGTTTTCCTATCAAATGTTATTTTTAATTGAAAATCGATTGTTTTTAGAGTTCCAGGATTAAATGTTTTTATTGTAAATTGGTATTTTGATGTTTGATTATCTACGCTAGATGTCATATTTGGGTATACCATACACCCGTATGGAAATTCTATAAAGGGTTCACATAATATACTTGAAAGAATATTTTGTATTTCAAGATGTAATATTATACGTTTTAGTTGATTGTTATGAGAAACGATTGTAAAGATTTTCGTTTCCAAAGCAGTTACCGAAACAGCGTTAAAAACCAATGGTGTTACGGTTATATTGTCCACTGTAATAATTAAATAAGCATAACCATCAGTAAATGTAGCCACTTTTAGTCTTGGATCAATAAATGACTGAAGTTCAATTGCATTAACTTTATATGCAAGCGTCACAATTGGATGAAATCTTTCTTCAACAATAGTAATATTTTGAATTATGCCAGTAATAGCATGAATAGTTGTAACAGTACCGAAGAGTAGGAGAATAAAATAAATCTTCATTTTTGCTAGCACGATTAGTGTTGATATAAAAAAGAAATGAAAAGCATGCATGTATTACCTAACTGATATAGAAAACAATTCGAATGCAATAACTCAAGCGAAACTATAGTAGTATAATTTATTGCTCATTTGTACTCAATATATAAACAAAAATATTAAAATTATGATTCGATTTCTATAAGGTGCATAAAGTATATTCTTTTCTTTGTAGCACATTGGTTTCTTTTCTATAGTTCAAAACTCGAGTTTAATTCGGCCATGGACATGTGATATACGTACATTTAACAATCGATTTTATACTGAAACAAGAAGCGATATATGTGAAATGTATCAAGGACGAAGTCAAAGAAAACGAGCTGAACGGGTGAATTACTATGATATATATTCGTTTTCATTAGTCTTTTTATTCTTTTTAGCTGAATTTTTCACGCTAATATACCTGGACATTTATCAGTTATTTTTTTTGTTTGTGTACTCTATATACCCTTTTCTTACACGGGATTGTGATATCACGTGTATATAGATTCATGTATAAATACGAAAGGATGCAACCATTTAAGAAAATATTCGACTTTTAAAACGTTTTCTTACCATTTGTGTAGAGAAAACATCGATGGATTTTTCCGTAAAAAAAATTTGGTTCAAAGCCTCGTGGTTACTGGCAATTAATCTGATCAATCTCCCAGAGTATTGTTCCTGTCAGTCTAGACAGAGCTAACTGTGAAAAATTAACTAAAAGGCATGCAGAGCTCGGTCAAACAGCATTAGATGAAGCTTCGAATTCTCTGCAAAATTTTGTGCTGTGAAGTTTAACACTTTATCTTATATCAAAGTTACAAGGGCAAAAATTCGAAAATAATCGCTTTGTCGAAAAATGCTATATGTAAAAACTGTCTTGAAGCAGTGCGAATAATGAGTATAACAAAAATTTCTTTTAGGAAAACCTCCTGACGGTGTCCCCAACCAAGTAGCAAAAAAATTTCGAATATAGTCACGTACCTTCTGACTGATGATTCAGTCATTCGAAAAAGTGCATTTTGTATTTTTTGGGTATACCAAAAACAATGTTCTTCCGGCTTTTCTCAGTCAATTTTTGTTTTTATGCAGAAAAGACTAGATATCCGTATAGAGTTCAGCAAGCCGAATCAGATGGTAAAAATCGCGCGTCTCTAGCCTTGTGAGGGAAAAGCCATAGCCATTTTACTCTAGCAGCTGAAAAATGCATTTTCGTCATTTTCCGGTGGATTTGGCCTAACTCGAAGAATGTCTGCTGATCACATTCGAAACGTAGAGCCTTGAAGTTGGTATCAAGTGAAAGAGCGCGACGAGTTCTATATATTTTGATAGAGAAAAGTTGTACTACACCTCGGATCTCTTGCGATAGAGATGTCTGAGAACCCGGTTTTCTACAAATCCTAGTGTTCTTAAAGTTTCCTCCCGAAGCTTTTCAACCATATCAATTAATCGCTCCTTCAATTCTCCATAAAATGAGATACTAGACAAGTTTCTACGATCTCAGATGACCGAGTTACAGACGTTTTAACATTATAAATATAAATTTATTCGCGTTAATGCCATTGTCGACCTGTATCGTATTTTCTATGCCACTTGTTGAGACAACATCGCAGAAACAAGAGGAGCTGTGACATCGCTTAAATATCGTCTTTTCAAATCAGCCATATCTCAATTTGCAGAAGCGGGAAACGGTCAAACCCTTCTGCAAACTAAGGCTAGGTCTAACTTGACGGCTAAAATCGACTTTCTATCCTTTGTCGTTTTCGCATCAACAAAAAGAATCATGTCGTTTTTGTACAACTTTAGTCGTCTGATCGCAAGTGGCAGGTGACAACTGAAAGCTATCCAATAGTTAGTTGTTAGCTGTCCAATAACTAGTTGTTATACGTTAACGAAAAGTCGTAACCTGCAGGACTCCGATGAGAACTAGAGCTTATACATAGTTTCATCAACCAGAACACATATGAGTAACTCGTATTTATTTGGTCAGACATGTTCTAAGTCATGTAGCAAGTACATGCACTTGTTTGATTTCTTAAATGACATATTGTTTCGAAACATGTTTACTCTCAGATGCCCCGAGCATCTCTTTGTAATGGAAACATGAGGCTAGCACTTTTAGGAAAATGTCGATTTTTCGCAAAGAAGACAATACGGCAAATCACTACGTTCTAGAAATCGCTTACTTAATGAATTCAACATAACTTGATCTTGGTTCAAGCTCAACCGAAAAAGCTCAAGTGATGACGTAGGCATCGTGTAAACTGCCTCCCTCCTCTCGTAGGCAAAAGTAGGATTTCGAGGAACCCCCTTATTACCTATGTAGTTGCCGAACAGTTCCTAAGGGACTTTCCATATGGTTACTACAGTGTGGAGCTGGAATACGATAGTTTCATATTCTTTTTTTCAGGCATATTGAAGAGTACTGTTCCCAATTCTCTGTCCACTAATGAAATCACCGATGCGACGTTTGACGGCTTCCCTTAGGTGTGAAGGTTTTTATAGGTTAGTTATTATAGGTTAATGAAAAGTCGTAACCTGCAGGGTTCTGTTGAGAACTAGAGCTTATACAAAGTTTCATCAACGAAAACACATATGAGTAACTCGTACTTATTTATTAAGATGAAATTCACAAAACTG